GCCGGAGCACGCGGACGACGAACACGAGGAACACGAGCACGGACAGCAGCTCTAGGCTCAGGCTCAAGGTCAAAGCTAGACTCAGGCTCTCGACGCTCAAGGGTGGAAGCACGAGTCTCAGGCTCTCGACGCTCAGTCAGGGACTCTGACACCGCAGTGTAAGAAGCAGGAGCAGGCAGTGGGGAGTGTGGTAGCAGCGGTGGCTGTGACTGGTCCGCTGGCGGACACAGCAACGGAGGAGTAGTACCTGCCACAGGGAAGCCAGTAGCACCTGGCGGAAGACTGAGAAGGTGGCGAAGAGCACCAGTAGCTCCAGCACGAGCAGCTCGAGCACCAGCACCTCCAGTGCCAGCACCTCGAGCACCAGTAGTGCCTCCAGCACCTCCAGTGCCTCCAGCTCCAGCTCCAGCGCCTCCAGCACCAGTAGTACCTCCAGTACCTCCTGTGTCAGCAGCTCCAGTAGCACCTCCTGCACCTCCAGCACCAGCAGTACCACCTGCTCCGGCAGCTCCAGCACCTCCAGTACGAGCACCTCCGGGACCAGTAGCTCCAGCACCTCCAGGGTCAGCAGCTCCCGCAGCTCCAGCACCAGGAGCACCAGCACCTCCAGTGCCACCAGCTCCAGTACCTCCAGCACCGGCAGCAGCTCCAGTACCCCCAGCACTAGCAGCTCTAGTACCTCCTGCACCAGCAGCACCTCTAGTACCTCCAGTAGTACCTCCAGCACCTCCAGCAGTACCTCCAGCACCTCCAGCACCAGCAGCACCTCCTGGACTAGTAGCTCCAGCACCAGCAGGACCGTACCCTCCACCACCAGGACTGCCTCGCAGAACGACCCACGCACGAATCGCCTGCGGCGAGAGCGTCTCAAGTAGAGCAGGCTGCGGTGGCTGTCCAGCTCCAGTACCTCCAGTAGTGGTAGCTCTAGCACCTCCAGCACCAGAAGCACCTCTAGTACCTCCAGCTCCAGCACCTCCAGCACCAGCAGCAGCTCCAGTACCTCCAGCACCAGTAGTACCTCTAGTACCTCCAGTAGGACCTCCAGGCCTAGTAGCTCCAGTACCTCCAGAAGGACTCGCAGCACCCCCAGAGTCAGCACCCGAAGTCTCAGCACCCCCAGAGTCAGCACCCAAAGTCTCAGTACCCTCAGTCCCAGCACCCTCAGTCTCAGCACCCTCAGTCTCAGCACCCTCAGTCCCAGCACCCTCAGTCTCTGCTCCAGTGTCCACAGCAGTAGGCTGCAGAGGCGGCGAAGACGGCAGAGGTGGGAACCCGGGGGGGGGGTAGCAAGACGAGGAGAGCGGGCACCCCCAGACTCACCACCCCCAGCCCCAGCTCCAGTAGTCTCAGCTCCAGAGTCCACAGCAGCAGGCTGCGGAGGCGGCGAAGACGGCTGGGGCGGGAAACCCGGGGGGGTCGCCAAGCGAGGAGTGTGGCGAGTGGTCGCCGTGTCGTCGGCGACGGCGTCACCCCCCTCAGGTGAGTCAGAGGAGTCAGAAGAGATCTCAACTGGCTCATCCAAGGGGGGTGGGTCTACCTGGGACACACCTGAGGGAGCAGGACCCTGTGGGGGGAGGGGGTCTACCGGGGGGGGGACTGGTACCAGGAAGAGGGGTGCAAGGGGGACCGGGTGGGACGCGTGCGGGTGAAGTCGGTAGTAACAGACCGACTCGTCGAAGGTGACGTCCTGAGAGGACAGAACACGACGCGAGGCAGGGTGGTAGAACTGCCAGGGTGGAGCGTAGGTGGGGAAGCCCAGGAAGACACAACGGAGAGTGCGAGGAGAGAGCTTGCTCGCTTTGGTATCGCGAACAAGGGAGAGCGCGCCCCAGACCCGAAACGACGACACATCACCAGGCTGTCCCGTCCAACGAAGTGTGGGCGAGGTCTCTGGAGCAGAGACACGGGGCCAGAGGTTGAGCTGATGCGCGGCGTATCGGACCGCAAACGGCCACAGGAAATGGGGAGCAGTCGCATGGATCATGGAGGTACGAGCAACCTCCATGATCAGGCCAATGCGACGCTCAGCGATCCCATTTTGCTGCGGAGAGGCCGGAAGCGTGAACGACTGGGCGATGCCCTCATCCTGGCAGAACGTCTCAAGGACGCCAGAAGAGAACTCACCACCCCTGTCAGAGTGCAGACGCAGGACTGGGAAGTCCTGATGAAAGCGCTCGTGTAGCTGGAAACGAGTACCACGGATCCAAGGGATCAAAACACCGCTGACGTCCGCCTTGCGACGCAAGGGGAAGACTGTGGTGTAGCGTGTGTAGTCGTCAACAACCAGCAGGAAGTAGCGCTCCTGGTCCGTCCCACCGACGGGGGCCGGGCCCCACACGTCCAGGTGGAGAGTCTGCAGAGGAGCAGTGGTCGGAGGAAACTCGGAGGAGTGAGGAGCGGCGCGCTGCCGCCCCTCGACGCAAGGAAGGCACGGCGGCGCAAGTGAGCGCGGGAGGGGGGGCAGGGTCTCAGGGAGGCCAGAGACCAGGAGCCGGGAGTGCATGCCGCGCAGACGCTGCAGGGAGGGGTGACCAAGACGGTGGTGCCCGCGCTGAGTCTCGTGCGTGAGTACTCTGCACAAGCAAGACGCAGCTAACTGCCCTGACGCAGACGCTCGACTCGACGCAGCTACCTGACCTGACTCAGCCACCTGTGCAGACGCAGTGGTCAGTGTGTACAGACTAGACCCAGGCTGACGAGTGAACGTAGCCAGGTGACGGCCAGTCCGGGAGCACGTACAGATCGCCACACGCTGCCCTCCAGGAATAAAGGTATCAACCCAGACATCCTGAATGGCAGCGTTGCTCACCAAGTTCGTCGAGAACGTGGGGAGGTGGAGACCTGACAAAGAACCAGAGGGGAGTGCTGGACAAGGGAGGACCGTGGAGGCTCTCGCAACCACTGGGCCCCCAGAGGGGTCAGCCAGTGAGACTGGGACAGGTGCTGTGAGTGGTGTGACTGTGGTGCAATCACGGAAGAAGCAACGTGACGCGCCTGAGTCAAGCGTGAAAGTGTGCAAGACCTCAGCTGAGGCAGGACCTGTGGTAGTAGACGCACTAGCACCTAGAGCGTCGGTAGACTCACGGGCACCTAGAGCTGCAGCAGACTTACTAGCACCTGGAGCGGCAGCAGACTCACTAACACCAAGAGCAGCAGTCCTAACAAAACGATAACCTCCACCACCAGGACGACCTCGCTGAATAACCCACTCACGAAGCTGCTGAGGGGTGGGGTCGTCCGGGAGAAGCAGTGCCCTCTGCTGTCCACCCCTGGCCGCAGCAACTGCCGCGGAAGTGGCCATGACAGACAGTGACGGTCAGGAGTAGGTCCAGCACCTCCAGCTCCTACAGCGCCAGCAGCACCTCCTGCACTCCCAGCAGCACCTCCTCCACTCCCAGTAGCACGAGTAGGAGCAGCAGCAGTAGTAACAGCAGCAGGGCGGCGCGCGGCCAGAGCAGGGCGGCGCGCGGCCACAGCAGGGCAGTAGTAGGCAGTAGCTCCTAGGGCAGAAGCACCTAGGGTCCTCTTTTTTTTTTTTTTTTTTTTTAATAAACAATTTAATTATATTTAGGGTATAGCAGGGCGCTGGCGCAGGGCAGGGCGCTGGCGCAGGGCAGGGCGTCAGCGCGCGCAGGGCAGGGCGCTGGCGCAGGTTGCAGGGGCAGGACGCGCGGGCTGCAGGGGCGCCGCGCTGGCTGCAAAGGCAGCTCGTACGGGCTGCAGGGGCCGCGCGGACGGGCTGCAGAGGCGGCGCGCGGGCTCCAGGGGCGACGCGCGGGCTGCAGGGTCCGCGAGGACGGGCTGCAGAGGCGGCGCGCAGGCTCCAGGGGCGACGCGCGGGCTGCAGGGTCCGCGAGGACGGGCTGCAGAGGCGGCGCGCGGGCTCCATGGGCGACGCGCGGGCTGGCTGCAGAGGCGACGCGCGGCTGCAGGGGCAGCGTGAACGGGCTGCAGGGGCAGCGTACGGGCTGGAGGAGCAGCGCGCGGGCCACAGGGGCAGGCGCGGCTGCAGGGGCAGCACGGTAGCAGGGGCGAGCACGGCTGCAAGGGGCAGCACGGTCGTAGGGGCGAGCACGGCTGCAGGGGCAGCGCGGTCGCAGGGGCAGCGCACGGGCTGCAAGGGTCGCGACAGTGAGAGCTAGGGGCGCCAGCGCGCTGGCTACTGTGTAGGGCGTGGCGCTACCACTAGGCGGAACGGTGGGCCCATGTAGGAACGGTTCCTACTCTGATAACCTGTCAAGAATAGAACTAGGAATGGTGGATTGGACTAGGCAAGAGGTGAGTACAAGTAGGGGAAACCTAACCCTAAAGTGTTGTACTCACTAAGGAGTGACCCTACTGTAGCCTAGAGATACAATCGTAATCTGACATAGAGTACCCCACTGCAGGCTAGACAAACATCGACATTCTGACAAAAGCCACTAGGGTCCTGGGTCCCTATTCGTAGGGATGTGTAAAGGAGGTACATTCCACAACAAGCGACTCATTGACAGAAAATGTAGCGCGGTAGTACGAAAGAGCAAGAAGGTGAGAGAAGTACATTGCACAACACTTCACTCATTGACACCAAATCAGAATTAGAGCGTGTTCCTATCCTCGTATCAAGACAACCTCGTATCAGGCTCGCACTGAAAATTCCCCTAAACCCAAAACCTCTCGCTAGTTTTACCAGGCAAAAAGGTACATTCTTGATACGAGGTTTCCTGATATGAGGCCGTAGGAACACGCCCTTAGAAGTACATGCAAGTAGGTTTGCAATGGAGAATTAGAACCGAGCGCACAGAATGCCCCTTGTCATCCTTCCACGTGATGCTGCCATACTTGAACAATCTGAACCTCATCCACACCACAACCTTCACCTTGAATCTTACTCGCTCCCCAGGAGCTATGGTAAACTTTGATGGCACCACTCTCACACTCACAAACTTGGGGGCCTTGATCCTCACCCTGTAGGTCGATGTGGTGTCTGAGACGCTCGTCACTGTCCGTATAGCGGTAACTTAATTATTCACTATGTTGACCAGCGAGATAGCAGGCCGATTCAGGTTCCTAGCTGGAACGGGTGTCAGTGGCACGTCTCCGAACGCCTTTCGAGCCCTCTCCATCCTCACCCCAGCAAGAAAGTTGCGGAAATCTTGCTCCCCGGCATCATAGGTCAACCCAGGGTCAAGCGCACTAGCGGGAAACACATGCCCCGCTCCCATTTGCCACGGTGATGCCGGCTTCAAATGTAGATTTCTAATAAGTTTCTTTCTGTTGTCTGTGCGGCGCGCAGTCGTCATCATAGCAGACATGACCTGCGAGGGCGTCCAATCAGGATGCTGCTGGATGATCAGAGCAGCCACACCAGCAACATTTGCCGCTGCCACGGCCGTGCTGTTACCAGTCACGAACGACCCCGTCTCGCCGACGGTTGCCCCGGGAGCAGCGGCAAGGATGTTGACTCCCGGGCCGATGATGTCTGGCTTGACAATGGCGTTGGAGGGGTAATTTTTCCATGGCTTGCAAATGGTACACTGGGCCACCATAACTGGACCGGAAGAGGACCAATAGGGAACCCTTGGGTGGGTAAATGCTGAAGGGGTGGTGGTGGCAGGGAGTCTGGATCCCACCAGTGTTGACATTGAAGGGGGGGATGCTGAAGGGGGAAATGCTGTTGCTGATGGCCATGATGTTGTTGCTGTTGGGCCTGTGGTGTTTGTAGGAGATTCTGACGCTGCATGTATAGCTGCTGCTGTTGTTGTTGACATTGAAATGAAAGAGCCTTGGGGAACGGTACTGCATGGTGAGAGAGGGAAGGTGTTGACAAGCATGAGAAGGGCAAGAGGAGACGCAGGATGAGGGAGGAGATGCGAGACGAGGGAGGAGAGTGTGGAAAAGTGCATGAACCAAGGACGGAAGAAGAGGAAGAATCATATTATAATCTGCAGCACGGAAAACAGGCAGGCTCCTGCCTTTGCGTGCAGAAGAGAACGAGTGCACACTCAATCATGCCCTACAAACATATGATAGCGCACTCAACGAGGTATGTCATGGGGTGCATGTTGCAGCACAGCATGTGAAATGGAAGTCATTCTTAAGAACGAGAATGCTGCTGCAGAGCATGTAATAGCCCGTCTTCATAGCCTGGGGCTGCAACCTCCGTCACTCTCTAGCGCGTGCTCCCCATTCTCACCTCGCCCCCACGGTGATATAGTAGGGTGAAAAGTTGTCGATGGCTTCTAATCGGCCGGTCCAATATTCGTAGTACTTGGACGGCCCTTCGTCGCCTGCTGCCACAACCACAGTCACTCCTGCCTGAAGAAGGGAGGAGGGAGGGAGGGAGGGAGGGAGAGAGGGAGGGAGCGAGGGAGGGAGCGAGGGAGGGAGGGAGGGAGGGAGGGAGGGAGGGAGGGAGGGAGGGAGGGAGGGAGGGAGCGAGGGAGGGAGGGAGGTAGGGAGGGAGGGAGGGAGGGAGGGAGGGAGGGAGGGAGGGAGGGAAGGGAGGGAGGGAGGGAGCGAGGGAGGGAGGGAGGGAGGGAGGGAGGGAGGGAGGGAGGGAGGGAGGGAGGGAGGGAGGGAGGGAGGGAGGGAGGGAGCAAGGGAGGGAGCGAGCGAGGGAGCGAGGGAGGGAGGGAGCGAGGGAGGGAGGGAGGGAGGGAGGGAGGGAGGGAGGGAGGGAGGGAGGGAGGGAGGGAGGGAGGGAGAACAAGGAGTGTGAAAAGTGGGGCATGGGAAGTTACCGGAGGGTGCTGGGTCAGAGAGAGTAGGATCACAGAGTAATTGAGACAGCAACGTGAGGGATGGCTGACAAGGGGCTACAATAGTATGCAAATATGAGTGCAAGTACAGTACCGATCTGTACTTGTGGTTGTTACAGCCACCACGTTAGTAGGGACATACGTATGTGAATATGAAAACGGTTTGGACCAACCAGCGAAGCCATACATACCGCAGGTCCCTCACACCCACCTCATGCCCCTCACACCCACCGCAGGTCCCTCACACCCACCTCATGGCCCCTCACACCCACCTCATGCCCCTCACACCCACCTCATGGCCCCTCACACCCACCTCATGCCCCTCACACCCACCGCATTCCCAAAAAACCCACCGCAAGAGCGCCGATGAAAGGCACGTCTTCAAAGTAATTCCGTTTGTGACCGTACGACTGTGCTACGTCGATAAGATGCACGGCCAGCACATCCACACCGTCCGCCACGGCCTGATCAACGGCTGCAAAGACGTCTGCGTATGTAGCGACCATGTACAAGTCAGGTGCCAAACCGTGACGCCAATACACCTTGTAGATGGCCAGGCGTGCCTTGGGAGCCACACCACTGATGGTGCCCCCGCCAGGCACGTTGACGCCGCTGTTGCCCGCTGCCGCTCTGAAGTGGGGGCGCATGGGACAGGGAAGGAGCGGCTATGAGGGGTGTGCCATACCGTTGCTATGAGGGGCTGACAGTGGTATGAACGGCTATGAATGGCTATGAGTGGCTATGAGCGGCTATGAGCGGCTATGAGCGGCTATGAGCGGCTATGAGCGGCTATGAGCAACGTACTCACAGGACACTCTTCGGGGTGGGGGAGAAGGTCTGAAAGAAGTCGACCCCCTCACGCTGACTGAAGCCTCGAGCAACGTAACGTGCCTTGAAGGCAGGCGGAGAACCCGGCGGCCGCTTCACCCTGAAAATCCACATGCCACTGACGATGTTCGCCCCAGGTGGGGGAACCTCGTCGACGTAGGTGCCTGTGGACTTCCAGGAAGCCATCTCTGCGTCCATGGCTGTCTGCCACTGAGAGGAGTACTCACCCGAAATCGCCTCCCTGTAGGAGCGCGGGGTGGGGATGTCAAGTGCATCCGGGTCTCCCTCAGGGGCAAGCAGCATGGTCGCGTGATGGGGTGAAGCGGCAGCAAGGCACTCTAGCTCCTCCTGTCTGTCCTCAAGAACGTCACAGCCAAGGGCAGTACAGCCAAGAGCAGTCTCACCCCCGACGGACGGAGGACAGGCAGGGACAGGGTCAGAGACAAGACTCGCAAGGTAGTCTATGCGGTACACAGCAGCAAAGTCAACAAGCTCAGCTACTAGGGCAGACGCAGCAGGAGACGAGAACGTAGGGTCCGTCACAACCGTAGCAAGAAGGCGAGTAACACTCGGACTGGACGCACGAGCAAGGTCAGACGGAGGGTCAGCAACGTCAGGCAGAGAGGACGCAGGAGGTAATGGTAGTACAAATCGCTGAGGAACAGAGGAAGGACGGAGTGTCATATCGTGAGTGCCGGGGACAGCCGGAGCACGCGGACGACGAACACGAGGAACACGAGCACGGACAGCAGCTCTAGGCTCAGGCTCAAGGTCAAAGCTAGACTCAGGCTCTCGACGCTCAAGGGTGGAAGCACGAGTCTCAGGCTCTCGACGCTCAGTCAGGGACTCTGACACCGCAGTGTAAGAAGCAGGAGCAGGCAGTGGGGAGTGTGGTAGCAGCGGTGGCTGTGACTGGTCCGCTGGCGGACACAGCAACGGAGGAGTAGTACCTGCCACAGGGAAGCCAGTAGCACCTGGCGGAAGACTGAGAAGGTGGCGAAGAGCACCAGTAGCTCCCGTACCTCCAGCACGAGCAGCTCGAGCACCAGCACCTCCAGTGCCAGCACCTCGAGCACCAGTAGTGCCTCCAGCACCTCTAGTGCCTCCAGCTCCAGCTCCTGCGCCTCCAGCACCAGTAGTACCTCCAGTACCTCCTGTGTCAGCAGCTCCAGTAGCACCTCCTGCACCTCCAGCACCAGCAGTACCACCTGCTCCGGCAGTTCCAGCACCTCCAGTACGAGCACCTCCGGGACCAGTAGCTCCAGCACCTCCAGGGTCAGCAGCTCCCGCAGCTCCAGCACCAGGAGCACCAGCACCTCCAGTGCCACCAGCTCCAGTACCTCCAGCACTGGCAGCAGCTCCAGTACCCCCAGCACTAGCAGCTCCAGTACCTCCTGCACCAGCAGCACCTCTAGTACCTCCAGTAGTACCTCCAGCACCTCCAGCAGTACCTCCAGCACCTCCAGCACCAGCAGCACCTCCTGGACTAGTAGCTCCAGCACCAGCAGGACCGTACCCTCCACCACCAGGACTGCCTCGCAGAACGACCCACGCACGAATCGCCTGCGGCGAGAGCGTCTCAAGTAGAGCAGGCTGCGGTGGCTGTCCAGCTCCAGTACCTCCAGTAGTGGTAGCTCTAGCACCTCCAGCACCAGAAGCACCTCTAGTACCTCCAGCTCCAGCACCTCCAGCACCAGCAGCAGCTCCAGTACCTCCAGCACCAGTAGTACCTCTAGTACCTCCAGTAGGACCTCCAGGCCTAGTAGCTCCAGTACCTCCAGAAGGACTCGCAGCACCCCCAGAGTCAGCACCCGAAGTCTCAGCACCCCCAGAGTCAGCACCCAAAGTCTCAGTACCCTCAGTCCCAGCACCCTCAGGCTCAGCACCCTCAGTCCCAGCACCCTCAGTCTCAGCACCCTCAGTCTCAGCACCCTCAGTCCCAGCACCCTCAGTCTCTGCTCCAGTGTCCACAGCAGTAGGCTGCAGAGGCGGCGAAGACGGCAGAGGTGGGAACCCGGGGGGGGGTAGCAAGACGAGGAGAGCGGACACCCCCAGACTCACCACCCCCAGCCCCAGCTCCAGTAGTCTCAGCTCCAGAGTCCACAGCAGCAGGCTGCGGAGGCGGCGAAGACGGCTGGGGCGGGAAACCCGGGGGGGTCGCCAAGCGAGGAGTGTGGCGAGTGGTCGCCGTGTCGTCGGCGACGGCGTCACCCCCCTCAGGTGAGTCAGAGGAGTCAGAAGAGATCTCAACTGGCTCATCCAAGGGGGGTGGGTCTACCTGGGACACACCTGAGGGAGCAGGACCCTGTGGGGGGAGGGGGTCTACCGGGGGGGGGACTGGTACCAGGAAGAGGGGTGCAAGGGGGACCGGGTGGGACGCGTGCGGGTGAAGTCGGTAGTAACAGACCGACTCGTCGAAGGTGACGTCCTGAGAGGACAGAACACGACGCGAGGCAGGGTGGTAGAACTGCCAGGGTGGAGCGTAGGTGGGGAAGCCCAGGAAGACACAACGGAGAGTGCGAGGAGAGAGCTTGCTCGCTTTGGTATCGCGAACAAGGGAGAGCGCGCCCCAGACCCGAAACGACGACACATCACCAGGCTGTCCCGTCCAACGAAGTGTGGGCGAGGTCTCTGGAGCAGAGACACGGGGCCAGAGGTTGAGCTGATGCGCGGTGTATCGGACCGCAAACGGCCACAGGAAATGGGGAGCAGTCGCATGGATCATGGAGGTACGAGCAACCTCCATGATCAGGCCAATGCGACGCTCAGCGATCCCATTTTGCTGCGGAGAGGCCGGAAGCGTGAACGACTGGGCGATGCCCTCATCCTGGCAGAACGTCTCAAGGACGCCAGAAGAGAACTCACCACCCCTGTCAGAGTGCAGACGCAGGGCTGGGAAGTCCTGATGAAAGCGCTCGTGTAGCTGGAGACGAGTACCACGGATCCAAGGGATCAAAACACCGCTGACGTCCGCCTTGCGACGCAAGGGGAAGACTGTGGTGTAGCGTGTGTAGTCGTCAACAACCAGCAGGAAGTAGCGCTCCTGGTCCGTCCCATCGACGGGGGCCGGGCCCCACACGTCCAGGTGGAGAGTCTGCAGAGGAGCAGTGGTCGGAGGAAACTCGGAGGAGTGAAGAGCGGCGCGCTGCCGCCCCTCGACGCAAGGAAGGCACGGCGGCGCAAGTGAGCGCGGGAGGGGGGGCAGGGTCTCAGGGAGGCCAGAGACCAGGAGCCGGGAGTGCATGCCGCGCAGACGCTGCAGGGAGGGGTGACCAAGACGGTGGTGCCCGCGCTGAGTCTCGTGCGTGAGTACTCTGCACAAGCAAGACGCAGCTAACTGCCCTGACGCAGACGCTCGACTCGACGCAGCTACCTGACCTGACTCAGCCACCTGTGCAGACGCAGTGGTCAGTGTGTACAGACTAGACCCAGGCTGACGAGTGAACGTAGCCAGGTGACGGCCAGTCCGGGAGCACGTACAGATCGCCACACGCTGCCCTCCAGGAATAAAGGTATCAACCCAGACATCCTGAATGGCAGCGTTGCTCACCAAGTTCGTCGAGAACGTGGGGAGGTGGAGACCTGACAAAGAACCAGAGGGGAGTGCTGGACAAGGGAGGACCGTGGAGGCTCTCGCAACCACTGGGCCCCCAGAGGGGTCAGCCAGTGAGACTGGGACAGGTGCTGTGAGTGGTGTGACTGTGGTGCAATCACGGAAGAAGCAACGTGACGCGCCTGAGTCAAGCGTGAAAGTGTGCAAGACCTCAGCTGAGGCAGGACCTGTGGTAGTAGACGCACTAGCACCTAGAGCGTCGGTAGACTCACGGGCACCTAGAGCTGCAGCAGACTTACTAGCACCTGGAGCGGCAGCAGACTCACTAACACCAAGAGCAGCAGTCCTAACAAAACGATAACCTCCACCACCAGGACGACCTCGCTGAATAACCCACTCACGAAGCTGCTGAGGGGTGGGGTCGTCCGGGAGAAGCAGTGCCCGCTGCTGTCCACCCCTGGCCGCAGCAACTGCCGCGGAAGTGGCCATGACAGACAGTGACGGTCAGGAGTAGGTCCAGCACCTCCAGCTCCTACAGCGCCAGCAGCACCTCCTGCACTCCCAGCAGCACCTCCTCCACTCCCAGTAGCACGAGTAGGAGCAGCAGCAGTAGTAACAGCAGCAGGGCGGCGCGCGGCCAGAGCAGGGCGGCGCGCGGCCACAGCAGGGCAGTAGTAGGCAGTAGCTCCTAGGGCAGAAGCACCTAGGGTCCTCTTTTTTTTTTTTTTTTTTTTTTAATAAACAATTTAATTATATTTAGGGTATAGCAGGGCGCTGGCGCAGGGCAGGGCGCTGGCGCAGGGCAGGGCGCGGGCGCAGGGCAGGGCGCTGGCGCAGGGCAGGGCGTCAGCGCGCGCAGGGCAGGGCGCTGGCGCAGGTTGCAGGGGCAGGACGCGCGGGCTGCAGGGGCGCCGCGCTGGCTGCAAAGGCAGCTCGTACGGGCTGCAGGGGCCGCGCGGACGGGCTGCAGAGGCGGCGCGCGGGCTCCAGGGGCGACGCGCGGGCTGCAGGGTCCGCGAGGACGGGCTGCAGAGGCGGCGCGCAGGCTCCAGGGGCGACGCGCGGGCTGCAGGGTCCGCGAGGACGGGCTGCAGAGGCGGCGCGCGGGCTCCATGGGCGACGCGTGGGCTGGCTGCAGAGGCGACGCGCGGCTGCAGGGGCAGCGTGAACGGGCTGCAGGGGCAGCGTACGGGCTGGAGGAGCAGCGCGTGGGCCACAGGGGCAGGCGCGGCTGCAGGGGCAGCACGGTAGCAGGGGCGAGCACGGCTGCAAGGGGCAGCACGGTCGTAGGGGCGAGCACGGCTGCAGGGGCAGCGCGGTCGCAGGGGCAGCGCACGGGCTGCAAGGGTCGCGACAGTGAGAGCTAGGGGCGCCAGCGCGCTGGCTACTGTGTAGGGCGTGGCGCTACCACTAGGCGGAACGGTGGGCCCATGTAGGAACGGTTCCTACTCTGATAACATGTCAAGAATAGAACTAGGAATGGTGGATTGGACTAGGCAAGAGGTGAGTACAAGTAGGGGAAACCTAACCCTAAAGTGTTGTACTCACTAAGGAGTGACCCTACTGTAGCCTAGAGATACAATCGTAATCTGACATAGAGTACCCCACTGCAGGCTAGACAAACATCGACATTCTGACAAAAGCCACTAGGGTCCTGGGTCCCTATTCGTAGGGATGTGTAAAGGAGGTACATTCCACAACAAGCGACTCATTGACAGAAAATGTAGCGCGGTAGTACGAAAGAGCAAGAAGGTGAGAGAAGTACATTGCACAACACTTCACTCATTGACACCAAATCAGAATTAGAGCGTGTTCCTATCCTCGTATCAAGACAACCTCGTATCAGGCTCGCACTGAAAATTCCCCTAAACCCAAAACCTCTCGCTAGTTTTACCAGGCAAAAAGGTACATTCTTGATACGAGGTTTCCTGATATGAGGCCGTAGGAACACGCCCTTAGAAGTACATGCAAGTAGGTTTGCAATGGAGAATTAGAACCGAGCGCACAGAATGCCCCTTGTCATCCTTCCACGTGATGCTGCCATACTTGAACAATCTGAACCTCATCCACACCACAACCTTCACCTTGAATCTTACTCGCTCCCCAGGAGCTATGGTAAACTTTGATGGCACCACTCTCACACTCACAAACTTGGGGGCCTTGATCCTCACCCTGTAGGTCGATGTGGTGTCTGAGACGCTCGTCACTGTCCGTATAGCGGTAACTTAATTATTCACTATGTTGACCAGCGAGATAGCAGGCCGATTCAGGTTCCTAGCTGGAACGGGTGTCAGTGGCACGTCTCCGAACGCCTTTCGAGCCCTCTCCATCCTCACCCCAGCAAGAAAGTTGCGGAAATCTTGCTCCCCGGCATCATAGGTCAACCCAGGGTCAAGCGCACTAGCGGGAAACACATGCCCCGCTCCCATTTGCCACGGTGATGCCGGCTTCAAATGTAGATTTCTAATAAGTTTCTTTCTGTTGTCTGTGCGGCGCGCAGTCGTCATCATAGCAGACATGACCTGCGAGGGCGTCCAATCAGGATGCTGCTGGATGATCAGAGCAGCCACACCAGCAACATTTGCCGCTGCCACGGCCGTGCTGTTACCAGTCACGAACGACCCCGTCTCGCCGACGGTTGCCCCGGGAGCAGCGGCAAGGATGTTGACTCCCGGGCCGATGATGTCTGGCTTGACAATGGCGTTGGAGGGGTAATTTTTCCATGGCTTGCAAATGGTACACTGGGCCACCATAACTGGACCGGAAGAGGACCAATAGGGAACCCTTGGGTGGGTAAATGCTGAAGGGGTGGTGGTGGCAGGGAGTCTGGATCCCACCAGTGTTGACATTGAAGGGGGGGATGCTGAAGGGGGAAATGCTGTTGCTGATGGCCATGATGTTGTTGCTGTTGGGCCTGTGGTGTTTGTAGGAGATTCTGACGCTGCATGTATAGCTGCTGCTGTTGTTGTTGACATTGAAATGAAAGAGCCTTGGGGAACGGTACTGCATGGTGAGAGAGGGAAGGTGTTGACAAGCATGAGAAGGGCAAGAGGAGACGCAGGATGAGGGAGGAGATGCGAGACGAGGGAGGAGAGTGTGGAAAAGTGCATGAACCAAGGACGGAAGAAGAGGAAGAATCATATTATAATCTGCAGCACGGAAAACAGGCAGGCTCCTGCCTTTGCGTGCAGAAGAGAACGAGTGCACACTCAATCATGCCCTACAAACATATGATAGCGCACTCAACGAGGTATGTCATGGGGTGCATGTTGCAGCACAGCATGTGAAATGGAAGTCATTCTTAAGAACGAGAATGCTGCTGCAGAGCATGTAATAGCCCGTCTTCATAGCCTGGGGCTGCAACCTCCGTCACTCTCTAGCGCGTGCTCCCCATTCTCACCTCGCCCCCACGGTGATATAGTAGGGTGAAAAGTTGTCGATGGCTTCTAATCGGCCGGTCCAATATTCGTAGTACTTGGACGGCCCTTCGTCGCCTGCTGCCACAACCACAGTCACTCCTGCCTGAAGAAGGGAGGAGGGAGGGAGGGAGGGAGGGAGAGAGGGAGGGAGCGAGGGAGGGAGCGAGGGAGGGAGGGAGGGAGGGAGGGAGGGAGGGAGGGAGGGAGGGAGGGAGCGAGGGAGGGAGGGAGGGAGGGAGGGAGGGAGGGAGGGAGGGAGGGAGGGAGGGAGGGAGGGAGGGAGGGAGGGAGCGAGGGAGGGAGGGAGGTAGGGAGGGAGGGAGGGAGGGAGGGAGGGAGGGAGGGAGGGAGGGAGGGAAGGGAGGGAGGGAGGGAGCGAGGGAGGGAGGGAGGGAGGGAGGGAGGGAGGGAGGGAGGGAGGGAGGGAGGGAGGGAGGGAGGGAGGGAGGGAGGGAGGGAGGGAGGGAGCAAGGGAGGGAGCGAGCGAGGGAGCGAGGGAGGGAGGGAGCGAGGGAGGGAGGGAGGGAGGGAGGGAGGGAGGGAGAACAAGGAGTGTGAAAAGTGGGGCATGGGAAGTTACCGGAGGGTGCTGGGTCAGAGAGAGTAGGATCACAGAGTAATTGAGACAGCAACGTGAGGGATGGCTGACAAGGGGCTACAATAGTATGCAAATATGAGTGCAAGTACAGTACCGATCTGTACTTGTGGTTGTTACAGCCACCACGTTAGTAGGGACATACGTATGTGAATATGAAAACGGTTTGGACCAACCAGCGAAGCCATACATACCGCAGGTCCCTCACACCCACCTCATGCCCCTCACACCCACCGCAGGTCCCTCACACCCACCTCATGGCCCCTCACACCCACCTCATGCCCCTCACACCCACCTCATGGCCCCTCACACCCACCTCATGCCCCTCACACCCACCGCATTCCCAAAAAACCCACCGCAAGAGCGCCGATGAAAGGCACGTCTTCAAAGTAATTCCGTTTGTGACCGTACGACTGTGCTACGTCGATAAGATGCACGGCCAGCACATCCACACCGTCCGCCACGGCCTGATCAACGGCTGCAAAGACGTCTGCGTATGTAGCGACCATGTACAAGTCAGGTGCCAAACCGTGACGCCAATACACCTTGTAGATGGCCAGGCGTGCCTTGGGAGCCACACCACTGATGGTGCCCCCGCCAGGCACGTTGACGCCGCTGTTGCCCGCTGCCGCTCTGAAGTGGGGGCGCATGGGACAGGGAAGGAGCGGCTATGAGGGGTGTGCCATACCGTTGCTATGAGGGGCTGACAGTGGTATGAACGGCTATGAATGGCTATGAGTGGCTATGAGCGGCTATGAGCGGCTATGAGCGGCTATGAGCGGCTATGAGCGGCTATGAGCGGCTATGAGCGGCTATGAGCGGCTATAAGCGGCTATGAGGGGAATGGCCGTGCCATGTGCATTCCTTTTCCCATGTCTGCTAAACCATAATGAACAGAACTGAATAGAGCCATGCCATACGTTTGAGAGTAGGGGGATCTGATTGAGAGTGAGGGTGGTCGGAGTTGCAACGTAAGAACATCATCATGCACCATGCACCATGCACCTTGCACCATGCACCATGCACCATGCACCTTGCACCATGCACCATGCACCTTGCACCATGCTTGCACCATGCACCATGCACCATGCACCATGCACAATGCACCATGCACCATCCACCATCCACCATGCACCATGCACCATCCACCATGCACCATGCACCATGCACCATCCATCATCCACCATCCACCATGCACAATCCACCATCTACCATGCACCATGCACCATGCACCATGCACCATCCACCATGCACCATCCACCATGCACCATGCACCATGCACCATCCATCATCCACCATCCACCATGCACAATCCACCATCTACCATGCACCATGCACCATGCACCATCCACCATGCACCTTACACCATCCACCATCCACCATGCACAATCCGCCATCCACAATACACCATACACCATGCACCACGCAACATGCACCGCACATCCCTGCACTCACCTCACGTTCCTGCACTCACCCGGCACACCACGTGCCATGGCCACTAGAGTCCCGCGGGGACAGCCAGTTGAGGGTGAGGTTCACGCTCTCATGATGTTCGCTCTCAAACCCTGTGTAGAAGATGCCCCCTCCGATGATCTTGTTGTTGCATGCGAAGTCGCTTGTCGTCGGACACGTGCCCGCCCACCCGGCAGGGAGCGAGCTGCTGTAGCCCTGGTGGGGTGGGGACGAGGAGGGGTGGGGTGTAGGGGGTTGGCTAAGTTGGAAAAAGAAGGTCTGAGCTCGGAGATAGGTTTGAGTACAGTGAGAACAGTGAGGGTGGGCTCATAATGAGAAAGTGAGGGTGGGCTCATAATGAGAAAGTGAGGGTGGGCTCATAATGAGAAAGTGAGGGTGGGCTCATAATGAGAAAGTGAGGGTGGGCTCATAATGAGAAAGTGAGGTTGGGCTCATACTGAGAAAGTGAGGGTGGGCTCATACTGAGAACAGTGAGGGTGGGCTCATAATGAGAAAGTGAGGGTGGGCTCATACTGAGAAAGTGAGGGTGGGCTCATACTGAGAACAGTGAGGGTGGGCTCATAATGAGAAAGTGAGGGTGGGCTCATAATGAGAAAGTGAGGTTGGGCTCATACTGAGAACAGTGAGGGTGGGCTCATAATGAGAAAGTGAGGGTGGGCTCATACTGAGAACAGTGAGGGTGGGCTCATAATGAGAAAGTGAGGGTGGGCTCATACTGAGAACAGTGAGGGTGGGCTCATAATGAGAAAGTGAGGGTGGGCTCATACTGAGAAAGTGAGGGTGGGCTCATAATGAGAACAGTGAGGGTGGGCTCATAATGAGAACAGTGAGGGTGGGCTCAGCAGCAGCAGCAGCAGCAGCCCATGAGGCGAAGAGACCCAGCAATGCTCGGCCGACAACGTACGGTGTCGTCAAAGGAGGGGTGCTCCGGCCACACGCCACTGTCCACAATCCCAATCACCGTGCCCTCGCCACCGTCGCTCGGCGATCCAGCCGGAGTGGCGGCAGCAGGAGTGGCAGCTGCGGAAGCAGCAGTGGTTGCAGCAGGAGTGGCGGCAGCAGGAGTGGCAGCTGCGGAAGCAGCAGAAGAGAGGGCGTGGGGCAGGTTGAGAGACTTTTGCCTGTCGGTAATGGAGGTGGCGCGGCGTGTGATGGTGCGAGAGGGTGTGACGGATGCCACAGAGGGGTGCCGCCTCATGCGCTGCACCTGCGCTGCCGTGAGGATCGCTGCAAAGCCGTTCGATGCGTGCATGTAGCTGAGGGGGGAGGGAGGGAGGGAGGAAAGGCGAACAAGGGGAAGAAGAGGAAAGGAAGAGGGGGCCAGGTGCGAAGTCTTTATAAGTCAGCGGTGGTGGTGCGGGGTGCACGAGTGATGAAGTGAGCCATGAGGGGCACTCAAGGACCAGGACAGGTGACACCTCATCTCAATGCAGTTTGTCACGTGAGCTCGGACCTGTGCTGCCGTGAGGGTCGCTAAAGAGCCGATCAACGGCGTTTGATGCGTGAGCTGGGAAGGGGTGCTGGGTGGGGAGGGGCTTTTCGTGCAACACATGCACAGAAATCAGGTCCCCCACATTCCCCTCACTCCCCTCACCTGTACACCATCTTCCCGGCGGCCACCCCACTGCCCCCCTCATTTCCCTCTGGCTCACCTGTACACCATCTTCCCCTCACCTGTACACCATCTTCCCCTCACCTGTAGACCATCTTCCCCGCGTCCACCCGGCTGTCTCTCAGCATGGCCTGCTGCGTGCGCTGCAGCAGCTGCTTGAACGCCCTCACGCCCGGCGCCCTCACGTTCACCCGCGGCCGCCGCAGCCGACGGCTGGTGCCTCCTGAACCGCTGGCAGTGGCAGTATCCGTAGCAGCAACAGGAGAACCAGAAGCTGTGCCAACGCCACCATTGCTAGTCACGGAGGACGGAAACGAGTTGGGAGGCACAGTGGGATGGCTGGCGCCGTCGTCTGCCGCGGCGCCTGGCGCGTTGCCGTTAGGGTTTCTCTCCCAGCCGGCCGTTGAGGAGTTTGACGAAGCTGCGGCGTCGGAACCGTTGGTGGCGCCGTCTGCCGTCGCGTCTGTTGCGCAGCCGTTAGGGTCGCTGTCCCACACGGCCGTTGCCGGGAAGCCGGGGATTCCGCCGCGGTACGAGGCAACGGGCGGTGCAGAGCGCAGGCGGACGATGTAGAGCGCGGAGGCATGGGGGGGGGAAGCTGCGGGGGATGGTGGGAAAGGCAAAAAGATGAGGGGAGATGAGATGTGAGTTGGGGGTGAGAGGAGGAAAGAGCGCAGGCGGACGATGTAGAGCGCGGAGGCATGGGGGGGGGGAAGCTGCGGGGGATGGGGGGACCAGGACGAGAGGGGGATGAGGGAAAGAGGCGGCACGAAGCGGCAGAGCAGGGAAATATGGGGTGAGGTGAAGCTTGCGAGAGATTTGGAAATGACAAGGGACGGGGGAGGGAACGTAGGCGGAAGATGTAGAGCGTGCAGGCATCATTACGGGCAGCTGCGGATTGTTGGTTGGGAGAGCAGGGCCAGGGGGAGAAGAGAAATGGTGAATCTGCTATTTGAGAATTCTCGAAACTTGGTTTTTGAGAATTCTCAAAATCAGAGCGCGCAGGCATCATTACGGGCAGCTGCGGACTGTTGGCTGGGAGAGCAGGGCCAGGGAGAGAAGTGGAAATGGGAGTGAGTGGGGGAAGGTAGGCGGAGGATGTATTACAAAGGGACGCAATTAGCCTGATTTTGCGGCACCTCTAATATACTATACTAGGGTATAGGATGCTACGGAAGCGCATTGGCGTATGGCCGTTTGCTCACCTGCGTTGGTGGGGCGGGAGAGCGTTACGGGTAGAGTGAGGAGGAGCAATGGTAGGAGAAGAAAAGCCCATAATCGATAAGGCAGCTCCTCATAACGCAACGAATGTTGTTTCTCAGAATGCGAGTGTTGTTTGTGAAAAGCCATAGAGAGATTGTAGCAACAGCAGGGGAACGGCGGTAGATTTGAAAAGAAAATGACAAAGAAAATGCCGAGGCACTCGGAGATATATTCTCGAGACTCTGGCTGCTGTCACTACGACTGCAGAAGAAAGGGTGGTACCTCGTGAAATCAATAGTAAGCGGCACGGGCGATGAAGCTAAAGTTTTCCCTTCGCTTGCGTCGCTTTCCTCCCGCGTTTGCTCATCGTCGTGGCTCTTTGCTCTCTGCCTTGCTGGCACGACTATGGTCGTAGAGGTTCCTGCTCGGTCGTGTGGTTCACATGCAGTACAACAACAGTGGTACAATGACTTTCAACAACGCACAATGACCCTCAACGACGCTGCTGGTGTCACTGACATCCCAGATAAGCTCGACGCCGAGATGAGCTCGAGATGGAAGGATCCGTTGGAGTATCCATCGCGAAGTTACCCCATTATGCCGCTCAATGACCCAACTAGAAAACGAAAGCTGATTTAGGTGATATGTTAGGGTATCCTTCGCAAGGTGTTTTCGCAAGGTGACTCCATATGTAAGGGAAGAACGGGAACTAACAATTTTGAAAACCATGAAATATAATAAAACCCAAATCGTCGACAACGTCAGTAGTCCAATGGTTAGGATATTTGCCTTCCAAGCAAAAGATCCGGGTTCGATTCCCGGCTGACGTACAAATTGTTGTCTCTTTTTTCGCACAACTACAGTAATTTGGCTCGAAGAAATCTCTTCTGGTTTTGGACCTTTTTTTGCCGAAAGCATTTTTTGTTGTCACGCTCTATCGCGACTGTCTTCTCCTCAGGCGCCCCTGTTTCCACGGCCGCCAATCCAGCCTCTCCTCGCGTCACCCCGCAGCGCCCCTCATGACGCCTTCGGAATGCCTCCCTCGAGAACGCCGTCTCCTGTATTCCTCCTAATCGCTACCCGAGCCACCTACCTGAAACCCCTATTCTCTTCCATTCCAGAAACGTTTGCGAATTGGCTGAACAAAAAGGAACCGTCTTACCATCCGCGCCAGCCGTGGGTTATCCGTTTAAATCAGCGGCGGCTGTCCTCGGCTCCGCGCGGCGCGGCATGACCCAGAAGTTGCCCGCGCCAGCCGTGAAATGTGAGGGGAGGGAGGGGAGCGGCGGGGGGGACGGGGGAAGCGGCGGGGGATGCGCAGAGGATGTCGCGGTCGTCTTTATCACAGCAGCTGAAAATGCGGCTGCCAGGATTGACGACGCTGACGTGGCAAGTGAGGCGATTCGGGAGCCTCCTACTGCCGGATCGGCTTCGCCTCCCACGTCCATGTCCATCCGCGCCGTCAGCCGACGCGGCTCGCAGAGTAGTCCTCAGAACGTGACACGTGGCGGTCAAAGCGGTCAATCGGAGCAGCAGAGGAGAAAAAAGAGCAGTCGAACAGAAAAGTCCAAAAAAGTAGTTCCCAAGGTGCAGTTGGCGAGCCAATCAGAGCGAAGAGGGCTCATGACAGGGACACTATCGACGGGGAAGCGTCCAGTGCTGCCACGTGGCGCAATGCAGTTGGTTGTGGATCCGTACAACCTGTGGGGCAGCCGAGTAGATGCGCGGAAGGTTCCTCTGAAGCCGTTTGTGGTGCGGTATGGCGACACGCTGGCCGCCCTCGCCGTGAGATTCAGGTGAAGGAGGGGAGGTGCAAGTGGGTCTGAATGGGTGCAAGCTGTCTGTTGAGCGGTATGGGGACACTATGGTCGCCCTCTCTGTGAATTTCTGGCGAGGTGCAAGTGGGTGCAATGGGGTGCAATGGGATGCAAGTGGTGTTGGACGGATGGAGGCGTTTTTTGTTTGCTGGTGCTGCGTTTACCGGGGACGCATGCCGCCAATCACAGTAACATTTCAGTAATTGGGCATTTGTGATGTGATAAAGCCGTCTGCTAGAGCATCTCGTATGTATGGGGATGAGTTTCTCGTAAAGGCTTCTGCTGCATTCTTTTAAAGGGGATGGAACCATCTGCTGCACTTGAAGAGCAATGCTTTTGTTCTGTGTCTGAAGTACATACTGTATCCTATCCGTGCACCCTCTGCTCAGAATGAACCTCGGTCGGACTGTCTATTCTTTTTGCCTGTGTGCCCTTTTTCGAAGAAACCTCTTCTTCTGTGACTGTGTGCAGTGTGACTATACGCGACCTGCAGAGAATAAACGGGATGCAGTCAGATGCCTTATATGAAGGCTCCATTCTTCTCGCACCCAAAGGTACTGTACTGTACAGCTGTACGTATATGATGCTGCACGTCTCGCACCCAAAGGTACCGTACAGCTGTATGTGATAGAATTGGAACTGAACTGATTGATTGATAAGGAAGGCACGAGGCCTTAAGTACAAACACGGTTGGGTTGAGCAAAGCTAGGGAAAGGATGGGATGGGAATCCTAGCAAATCTCCAATTGGTGAGTTGGCAGATTTGCAGGATTACGAGGGAATCCCAACCAGATAGGGTTGGGATTACACCCAACCTACAAAGTAACCTAACCGATATAGAATATAGTACAAAGTGTTGACGGACTATTTCTAACACACCCCCTAGGCTGACAACACTTCAGCCACATGGAGGTCCAACACCCATGGACGAAAGGAGGCGGTAGTGGTCTTGGCGAACAAGAGACTTGGTAAACAAGTCAGCAAGGTTGCAGTCGGAGGCAATGTGTTCAGCCTTCAGCTGCTCGCGCTGCACCAGCTCACGAAGAAAGTAGTGACGGACTTCAATGTGCTTGGTGCGGCCGTGAAAGACTGGGTCCTTGGTGAGATGAATGGTGCTCTCGTTGTCACACCAAAGCGTTGGGGCTGGTTGAGGATACCCAAGTTCTGCCAGCAAGAAGGAGAGCCAACGGGCCTCCTGGGCAGCCATGGTCCCTGCATACAGCTCTGCCTCACAGGTCGACAGTGAGACGGAGGACGACCGAGTGGAGCGCCAACTGACAACCCCACTGCCAAGGGTAAAGCAATACCCTTGGGAAGAGCGCCGATCACTCTGGTCATCAGCATAGGACGAGTCACTGTATCCCTCAAGGCGAACAGGGGAAGAGCCGCCAAGAGTGAGCACATAGTCCTGTGTGCCTTTGAGATAGCGGAGGACCCGCTTGGCGGCAGACCAGTGGTGGCTCGTGAAGCGACCAGGTGCAACGTAGCGAGACAGGACACTGACTGGATAGGCCAAGTCTGGCCGAGTGCACATCATCGCGTACATGAGGGAACCAACGAGCTCGGGGTAAGCCTCATCGCAGGGCTCAGGTGAGGGAACAGAGGGTGCAGTGAGTTGGTGCTGCAGAAAGAGTGGGGTGGGCATTGAAGCTGCTTCCTGCATCTTGAACCTTGTCAGAACGTTGTTGATGTAGAACTTCTGCGAGAGGGTGATGGTGCGGGCCGTGCGATCACGTGTGATTTCCATGCCCAGATAGTTCGTCAGCTTCCCAAGATCCTTCATGGCCAGCTTCTCACCAAGTGCGGTCTTGACTGCTGCCAGCTCTGTCTGATCCTTGGTGACAAGGATCATGTCATCGACATAAACCAAGATGAAGAAGCGGGATGGCGTTGCTCGGATGAAGAGGCTGGGGACAGAGGTGGATGGGTGAAAGTCGAGGGACCCTAAGGTGCTCTTGAGCTTGTTGTGCCATTCCCGGGGTGCTTGCTTGAGGCCATATACTGGTCGATTCAGCTTCCATACAGTGCCTGGTGGAAAAGGAGCTGGAAATCCTTCGGGCCGCTCCATGTAGATTTCCTCTCGAAGGATCCCTTGCAGAAACGCAGAAGACACATCCATGCAGTCAACCTCCATGTCATCTCGAGCGGCCACATCGAGAAGGGTGCGCAGTGTGGGAGGTTTGGCAGTGGGAGAGAATGTCTCAAAGAAGTCCAGTCCACGCTTTTGGGTAAATCCCTTGGCACAGTACCGGGCTTTGAAGACAGGAAATTCGCCTGGAAGTTGTTTCACCCGGAAAACCCATTTTCCCTTCACAATGTTGACGCCGGAGGGAGGAATGATATCTGTGAAAGTCCCTGTGTGAATGAAGGCTTCACACTCTGCGATAATGGCCCCTATCCACTGAGCGGCGTTAGGACCAGAAACTGCTTCAGCATAGGTGAGAGGTGTGGGGATGGAGGGGTTGTCTGAGAAGTTGAGGGTGGGAGATTCTGCGATATCTGGAAAGAGAGAGCAGAGCGCGTGTATGGCTGAGTCAATGTCAATCAACTCCTCATGTCTGTCCTCAAGAAGGGAGGGCATGAGCGAATAATCACCCCCGACAGGAGGAGGATTGAGAGAGACACGAATGGAAAGGGAAAGAGGCTTGGGAGCTTTGTGCGAGCGGGTGCGACTAGCGATGGGGGAGGGAGGCGGAGCCGGAGGAGGAGAAGCAGGATCAGGAGCATCAGCTCCTGGATCAGGAGGTGTAGTGGCAGCATCAGGAACAGCAGCAGGATCAGGAGCAGGAGCTGGATCAGGAGTAGGAGCAGTAGCGGGAGGACGGCGTTGGTAGGTTTTGAGAGGAATGGGCTCGGGGGCGGGAAGGAGCGGGGGAGACTGCGTGGTGCTGGATGGGGAAGCGGGTGATGGGGGGTCGGAAACTGTGGAGGGAGAGGGAAGAGGAGGAGAGGGAGTGGTGGCAGGAGGAAGGCTGTCAAAGTCAGCCCAAGTAAGAGAAGGAGGCGGAGGAGAAGGAGAGACTGTGGAGGAGGGGTAGAATGGGTGGGATTCATCGAAGAAAACATCTCGGCTGCGATAGAGTTTGTTGGTGGTAGGATGGAGGAAGAGGTAGTCTGGCGAGTCCAAGTTGTGCCCGAGGTACACACACGTGATGGTTTTCGGAGCAAGCTTGCCGCCAGCTGCACGACGGGCTTGGGAGTTGAGGAGGACATAGGAAGTGCACCCCCATACACGAAGAGGGCGGACGGACGGCTTTTGACCCGTCCACAGCTCTGCGGGGGTGGTGTGGGTGTGGTGAGGATGAGGATGGAGGTTGTGGAGGGCGGCAGCATGGAGCATGGCGTATCCCCAAAGAGAGGGAGGGGCGGAAGCATGAGTGAGGAGGCAGCGAGCAATCTGCACCAGGATGCGGTTTCGGCTTTCAGCAACACCGTTCTGTTGAGGGCTGTCTGGGAGAGTGAAGGTCTGACGAATACCCTCAGTAGAGCAGAAAGCTTTGAGAGTGTTGTTGCGGAATTCACCGCCACCGTCAGAGTGAAGGATCTTGATTTTGGTTTTGAAGTGTGAATGAGCCTGCTTGGCCCATTCCATGATGATGGCTGGGGCTTCCGACTTGGTGGTGAGAAGATGAACGGACACATAGCGGGAATAGTCATCAACGATGACAAGGAAGTAGAAGTGTCCGCCACGGGAACGAACAGGAGCTGGACCCCAAAGGTCCATGTGTACGCGATCGAGAGGTGCGGTAGAGATGGACTCAGTGGGAGGATGGGGCTGTTCCCGAAGCTTGCTCTGTGCACAGTCAAGGCAAGGCGGTCCAGAAAGAGAGGGGGGTTGTGGAAGTGAGGCGGGCAGCCCATGAAGGAGTTGCTTGGTGGCAAGGTCTGAAAGTGCGCGGAAGTTGATGTGGCCTAGGCGGTTATGAAATAGCATAGTCTTGTCAGTGAGGAGGCGGCAGTGACATGAGGGGGAGTCTGAGGATGGTAGCGGAAGGTTGGTGAGAGAGCATGTTTGAACGGGAGGGACAACTAGTGTGTACAGGTTGTTGGAGTTGAGGGTGAAGCGGGCAAGATGGAGTCCGGTTTTGGCGTCAAACATGTCACAGTAGTCAACATCATTGGGAAAGATGGTGATGACGCCTGCGTGTTGGATTTCCCGCTGTGCAAGAAGGTTGTAGCGGAGGGTTGGGGCACAGATGCCAGTGACTGTGCCGGATGGGAAAGCGGGACAGGAAACTGTGGAGGAGCCATGGCATTGGATGGAGAAGCTAGAATCTGCTCCAAGGAGTGAGGTGGGAGCCTGGTAGGGAACGAAGGTGGTTTGGTCTTTAAGCACTGTGTGGGTGGCACCACTGTCTAGTATGAACTCGATTCCCTGTGTGGTTGAAACACCGATGTACTGCGACCCCTTCTCATTAATAAGACCAGCACCAGAGAACAACAGGTTAAGGCGAACATCAGATGGGGCGCTAGCAAATGCCTGAGCAGGTTCCTCCACTGCCTCGACCTGGTTCACGCGACGGGGTGGTGCCCAGTTGGGAGGGCGCTTGTCCTTGGAGACACCATGGACGTCATACCACTCGTCATCTCGCTTCTTGAAGCAAGTGGCCTCAGGGTGGTTGGTGCCGTTGCATTTCTGCCCCGCACGTGGACCCTTCCTAATGAGGTACTGGCATGGGGGAAACGAGTTGCGCCTCTGGCCCTGCTGGGAACGAAATGGAATGCCAGGGGAGTAGCGCACAGCATTGACTGATGCCTGGGCTGCAAGGTCCTTTTCCGCAGAGAGAAGGGCCGAAGCGACTTTCTCGAAGGTGAGTTCCTTGGTGGGGAGCTGCTTGAGCATGGAACTGGTGACGTTGTAGGCCGGGGTGAGTCCAACGAGAAGCCCAGCAGCAGGTGCCTGTTCGGGGAAGGTGATCCCAATGTCCTTGAGCTCCTCATGGATGTTGCGGATTTCAGAGATGTAGTCCGCCATGCCCGGGCATTCCTCAAGGCGGGTTTGGAACATGCGAGGAATGAGAATTGCAACTCCCACGGCAGTTTTGTCATGAAAACGATCCTGGAGGTACTTCCAAATGTCATGCGCAGAGCGGAAGGTGCGGTAGGACTTGACTAACTCAACTGGCGTGGTGGTGATGAAAACCCTAATCACTGCCGCATCCGCCTGCTCCCAGAGACTGAAGTCCGTCTCATACTTGGTGGCCTTAGCATCGAAAATGCTCTTGGCTGTGGCAGTGGCGCCTTCGCCGAGAGGATCGGGAGGGAGAGGCATCTTCCCCTTGCCGCGGTTGAGGAGGATATCTTTTAGGCAAATCCCCTTGAGCTCCGAGCTAAGGAGGTGCTTCTCCACTCCATAGCACCACTCCCCGAAATTGGTGCTCGTGCCGTTGGGAGCGAGGTTAAGGATGATGAGGTTTCCGACGAGAGTGGAAGTGGAAGTTGCCATTTCGCGCGGAGCGCAGCGCTAAAGTCTCCGATACGTAGCGGAGCGAGACGATTCTGGAAATTGAGGAAGTCCGAAACGCGATTTCGGCAATAGAATGCCCGTAATATACCCTGCTATACTGCTTCGCCGATGCCCCCTGTACTGCTTCCCTGCTGCCCCTGTTCCGCTTCTCTGCTGCGCCGCTGACCTGTTCTGCTGCGCCGCTGACCTGTTCTGCTGCGCCGCTGACCTGTTCTGCTGCGCCGCTGACCTGTTCTGCTGCGCCGCTGACCTGTTCTGCTGCGCCGCTGGACCTGTTCCGCTGCGCCGCTGGACCTGTTCCGCTGCGCCGCTGGACCTGTTCCGCTGCGCCGCTGGACCTGTTCCGCTGCGCCGCTGGACCTGTTCCGCTGCGCCGCTGGACCTGTTCCGCTGCGCCGCTGGACCTGTTCCGCTGCGCCGCTGAACCTGTTCCGCTGCGCCGCTGAACCTGTTCCGCTGCGCCGCTGAACCTGTTCAGCTGCGCCGCTGAACCTGTTCTGCTGCGCCGCTGAACCTGTTCCGCTGCGCCGCTGAACCTGTTCTGCTGCGTCGCTGAAAACCTGTTCGAAGTTAAGGAGATGCGAAAATTTCCACAGAGAATTTAAAAACCAGATGCTTACGATGAAGGAAGTCGAAGGCTGAAAATGTCGCCGTTGAAAAACGAGAAGCACAATGAAGGAAGCCGAATGCGCGCTTGACCGGAGCGACGATGTGAAGTTTCTGAAAAATGCTAAGCGTAGGAGCCGGGAGCAGAAATAGGCATAGCCTAGAAGGAGAGAACCATCGGGACGCCAAGGATCGAATTCCGCGTGAGCGGAATTTACTAGCTCGATACCATGATAGAATTGGAACTGAACTGATTGATTGATAAGGAAGGCACGAGGCCTTAAGTACAAACACGGTTGGGTTGAGCAAAGCTAGGGAAAGGATGGGATGGGAATCCTAGCAAATCTCCAATTGGTGAGTTGGCAGATTTGCAGGATTACGAGGGAATCCCAACCAGATAGGGTTGGGATTACACCCAACCTACAAAGTAACCTAACCGATATAGAATATAGTACAAAGTGTTGACGGACTATTTCTAACAGTATGTATATGATGCTGACCGGAAACCCACAGCTACAGTATAACATCATAACTCTCCTCTTCGCTCCCCCTCCCGTTTCCATTTCCACACCCCCCTTCCTCCCGTCACCTCACACTGGTCGCCACCAACCGCACCAAACGCCTTCAAAACTACCAGCCATGATGCCATCCACCACTTGGCCCCACCCTCTCGCCTTCCTCTCACCACCACCCCCTTCTTTGTGCAAGGCACGGCCGCTTCACGCCATCAACCCCTTGCCCCGTGACGTGCCTCCAGGTTTCCACCGCACCAACCGCCTCGTCTTCTGTTGTCCAACCTCTACCAACCCAGTCATCCCCCATCCACTCCACTCCATTTGCCCCTCAACACCCCTCCCCCTCCCCCCACTTCTCCCGCTCAGGCGTCATCACCCCTTCCCGCTCAGGCGTCATCACCCCTTCCCGCTCAGGGCGTCATCACCCCTTCCCGCGGACGTGTGCCCTGGTCTCCGCCACGCCAACCGCCTCTGCTTCTATCTCCCATCCCCTATCCACTTCCCTTTCCCCCTCACTTTCCCCCACTTCACCACCCTTCACTTTCCCCCCCTCTCCCCCCCCCTTCTCTCCAGGTGACATCACCCCCCCTCCGCCTGGTGTGCGCCCTGGCCTCCGCCGCACCAACCGCCTGCTCTTCTATTCCATTTCCCCTAGCAATTCGCTCTTCTCACGCCCATCCCCTACCAGCCCGCTCATTCCCTATCCCCTTACCCCTTCCACCCTTTCTTCTTCCAATCTTCTGCTTCCTCCCCCTCCCCCCCTCCAGGCGCCATCACCCCCCCTTCCCCTGACGTGCGCCCGAGCCTCCGCCGCACCAACCGCCTGCTCTTCTCGCGCCCGTGGGTCCGCCCACCAGCCCTCGGCCAACCACAGCGCGACACGTGGCGCTTCCACCCTGGCACACGGCACCGGCTTAACCAGGCAAAAGGCAGGCAGAGGGGGCATGGATGGTTGGGAACGGTGGAGAGGTGGATGGGAATGAAAATACTTCGTTAAGCTTGCAGTGATGATGGGATGATGGGGTATGCACATGTTATCAGCAGGAACCATCCATCTGTGTGGCTGCTGGCTTCAGCCAAGCCCATGATCCCTGGGGGATGGCAAAATCTTACTGTACTGTCTTCCCCGCCCTTCCAGGCATGGGGTGTAGGGCAGGCAGGAAGGGGTAGAATGGAATGGAATGGAATGCACTTCATCTGGTTTCTGTGACCACGTAAGGGCATCAATTCTTGTGAAGCTTAGACCTATGGAATTGCCTTCCTGTGTTATCAGGAATCGCCTTTCCACGGTTCCCCTGAGGCTACTTGATCTGTTAAAAGTGACTCCAATATAGCTGACGTGTCACTTCAGTACAGGCACTTGTGCCTTCTGTGCACGGAAGCGCTTGCTTGCTGTCCGGCAGCAACCCCACCCCAGCCTTTATCATTCTATTAGAATGAATAGATTGCCCCTCTATTAGGGCCGTATTGCGGTCTATTAGGGCCCCTCAAAGCTGGTTCAACTTAACTTTCCACCTTTTAGCCTTGCTGTCCTGTCCGCCAGCAAACCCAATCCATTCCGCCCTCCTGCCTCCTGCATTTCTCTCGCCGTGCTGCAAATGGGTGCAGCGCGGTGGGATGAGGTGCGGAGGAAGGGGTTCCACCGGCTGCTGCAGGGGTGGCTGCCTCTGCGATCCCCCATGGATGGCTGCTCTGACTGGTGAGGCTGGGCGGGTGAAAGGTTGCTCTGACTGGTGAGGCTGGGATAGTGTTTGAGTGGGTGCTGTTTTTGGTGGAGGGATGTGCTGGCACCTGAAAGGGGCATGCAAGCTGGCACCTGCCGCGAGGTTCACAAGGGCTTTCATCGCCTGCTGCATGAGCGATTGCCGTCTCTATCTCTCATGGAAGGCCGAGGTGCTGTGCGGTGTGGCTCATTCCCTCCCCCGCTCCATGTCTCCCCCTCCCATTCCCCCCTGTCCCCCACTCGTCTCCATGCACAGCTTTGTGAGCAGCCCCTTTGGGCCCAGATGGGGTTCCTTTCATCGGGTGAGTGCTGCGCCTCATTCCCGCAACATAAGGGCGGGCAGATAGCCGCACCTGCATTCTCTCATCTGCGCCTCACTCCGTGCCGCTCTTTGTCTTCCCACCTTGCTCCCCGTTCCCGCCTGTTGCTCTCTCGCCTCGCCGTCACTGACTTGACTCAGCAGCACCCAACGAGGCACTCAGAATGCACCTCGAAGCTCACTCAGTAACGCCCAAGCAGGCATTCACTCAACCATGCCCTCGGCACCTGGCAGCAATCTCTTCTTCCCATATACTGGCAGGGGTGCATTGCGACTCATCTCTTCTCCCTCCGCTCTCTCCTCTTCCCCCCATCCTCGCAGCAGAGCAGGGCGAACCACTTCTTACTCCTTCCTCTCTCTCCCCCCTCCTCTCGCCCCTACCCCCCCTCTCCCTCCCCTCGCTCCTCCTTTCTTAGGGCGTTGACGTGGTGGCAGAAGAGGGCGAGCCAATCAGAGCTGCTCGCAGTGGTGTTGTGACTCATGTGGGGGAGATGGATGTGTGAGTGGCTTGAGGGGGAGGGATGGGCGTGTGGGTGGCGCATGGGGGGGAGATGGGCATCTATGGGTGTGTGGGTGTATGGGTGGGGGGTCGTATGGATGTGCATAATGCTGGGAAACGTATGTGATCTGTGCTGCCCAGTGGCAGTGGCAGCGGCAGTGGCAGCGGCAGTGGCAGCGGCAGTGGCAGCGGCAGCGGCAGTGGCAGCGGCAGTGGCAGCGGCAGCGGCAGTGGCAGCGGCAGCGGCAGTGGCAGCGGCAGTGGCAGCGGCAGTGGCAGCGGCAGTGGCAGCGGCAGTGGCAGCGGCAGTGGCAGCGGCAGTGGCAGCGGCAGTGGCAGCGGCAGTGGCAGCGGCAGTGGCAGCGGCAGCGGCAGTGGCAGCGGCAGTGGCAGCGGCAGTGGCAGCGGCAGTGGCAGCGGCAGCGGCAGCGGCAGTGGCAGCGGCAGCGGCAGTGGCAGCGGCAGCGGCAGCGGCAGTGGCAGCGGCAGCGGCAGTGGCAGCGGCAGCGGCAGCGGCAGTGGCAGCGGCAGCGGCAGTGGCAGCGGCAGCGGCAGCGGCAGTGGCAGCGGCAGCGGCAGCGGCAGTGGCAGCGGCAGCGGCAGCGGCAGTGGCAGCGGCAGTGGCAGCGGCAGCGGCAGCGGCAGCGGCAGTGGCAGCGGCAGTGGCAGCGGCAGCTGGCAGCGGCAGCGGCAGCGGCAGCGGCAGCGGCAGCGGCAGTGGCAGCGGCAGGCGGCAGCGGCAGTGGCAGCGGCAGCGGCAGTGGCAGCCGGCAGCGGCAGCGGCAGTGGCAGCTGGCAGCGGCAGGCAGCGGCAGTGGCAGCGGCAGTGGCAGCGGCAGCGGCAGCCGGCAGTGGCAGCGGCAGCGGCAGTGGCAGCGGCAGCGGCAGCGGCAGTGGCAGCGGCAGCGGCAGTGGCAGCGGCAGCGGCAGTGGCAGCGGCAGCGGCAGCGGCAGTGCAGCGGCAGCGGCAGCGGCAGTGCAGCGGCAGTGGCAGCGGCAGTGGCAGCGCAGCGGCAGCGGCAGTGGCAGCGGCAGCGGCAGTGGCAGCGGCAGCGGCAGCGGCAGTGGCAGCGGCAGCGGCAGTGGCAGCGGCAGCGGCAGCGGCAGGCAGCTGGCAGCGGCAGCGGCAGTGGCAGCGGCCAGGGCAGCGCAGCGGCAGTGGCAGCGGCAGCGGCAGTGGCAGCGGCAGCGGCAGCGGCAGCGGCAGTGGCAGCGGCAGCGGCAGTGGCAGCGGCAGCGGCAGCGGCAGTGGCAGCGGCAGCGGCAGCGGCAGCGGCAGCGGCAGCGGCAGTGGCAGCGGCAGCGGCAGCGGCAGCGGCAGCGGCAGTGGCAGCGGCAGCGGCAGCGGCAGTGGCAGCGGCAGCGGCAGCGGCAGCGGCAGCGGCAGCGGCAGCGGCAGTGGCAGCGGCAGCGGCAGCGGCAGCGGCAGCGGCAGCGGCAGCGGCAGCGGCAGCGGCAGCGGCAGCGGCAGTGGCAGCGGCAGCGGCAGTGGCAGCGGCAGCGGCAGCGGCAGCGGCAGCGGCAGCGGCAGTGGCAGCGGCAGCGGCAGCGGCAGCGGCAGCGGCAGCGGCAGCGGCAGCGGCAGCGGCAGCGGCAGTGGCAGCGGCAGCGGCAGCGGCAGCGGCAGCGGCAGCGGCAGTGGCAGCGGCAGCGGCAGCGGCAGTGGCAGCGGCAGCGGCAGCGGCAGCGGCAGCGGCAGCGGCAGTGGCAGCGGCAGCGGCAGCGGCAGCGGCAGCGGCAGCGGCAGCGGCAGCGGCAGCGGCAGCGGCAGCGGTGGGCAGCGGCAGCGGCAGCGGCAGCGGCAGTGGCAGCGGCAGCGGCAGTGGCAGCGGCAGCGGCAGTGGCAGCGGCAGCAGCGGCAGTGGCGAGTGGCAGCGGCAGCGGCAGTGGCAGCCGGCAGCGGCAGCGGCAGCGGCAGCGGCAGCGGCAGCGGCAGTGGCAGTGGCAGCGGCAGTGGCAGCGGCAGTGGCAGTGGCAGCGGCAGGGGCAGCGGCAGTGGCAGCGGCAGCGGCAGTGGCAGCGGCAGTGGCAGCGGCAGTGGCAGCGGCAGTGGCAGCGGCAGTGGCAGTGGCAGCGGCAGCGGCAGCGGCAGTGGCAGCGGCAGTGGCAGCGGCAGTGGCAGTGGCAGCGGCAGCGGCAGCGGCAGTGGCAGCGGCAGCGGCAGTGGCAGCGGCAGTGGCAGCGGCAGTGGCAGTGGCAGCGGCAGCGGCAGCGGCAGTGGCAGCGGCAGTGGCAGTGGCAGTGGCAGTGGCAGTGGCAGCGGCAGCGGCAGCGGCAGTGGCAGTGGCAGTGGCAGTGGCAGTGGCAGTGGCAGCGGCAGTGGCAGTGGCAGTGGCAGCGGCAGCGGCAGTGGCAGCGGCAGTGGCAGCGGCAGTGGCAGTGGCAGTGGCAGTGGCAGTGGCAGCAGTCACGCGCATGTTACCATTCCGTTACCTAAACCCTTCCCTCCCTCTCTCTCCGTTACCAAAATGCTTCGCTCCTCCGTCACACTGCTCCAAGATGCTCGTGCAAGCCGGGCAGGTGGGTCGCTCTCTTCACATGATCGGGTGATCTGTCGGGTGGAGCGTTGTGTCAGATGCTCGTAATTTGTGCCACAAGGCATGCTTTCAACTTGCAAGTCCAAGTGCATGCGTTCCTGGTCAGGTGTATACACTTGCAGCCCGTGAGGATGGGAGAGGCAGGTGGCTGCACCGGTGGGCAACACTCGCAGTTCCGCTCTGATCTGATCTTATGCCAGTTCATTCAGACTCTATTCCTGCCTCCCCACTCGCCTGCCTTCACTCCACGCCCCTCTCCCCCTCCCTGCACTCTTCATTTTCACCAGAGGGTGCAAGCAGGGCAGGTGGTGGCGCTGGTGGCGCTGGTGGGCAACACTTGCAAGTCCGTGGCATCGAATCACACACCCTTTCTTCCCCCCCTACCCACCCGCCTCCATCCTCCTCCCCCGTGCACTTCTCATTTCCACTCGTCTCTTCACCCCAGCAGAGGGTGCGAGCAGGGCAGGTGGTGGCGCTGGTGGGCAACACTGGCCGGTCCTTGCACCCCTCACCACACGCCCTTCCCCCTACCCAACCCTACTCTCTCCCCCCTGCACTCTGCATTTTCTCCCCACCAGAGGGTGCACACAGGGCAGGTGGTGGCGCTGGTGGGCAACACTGGGCGGTCCATGGGGCCGCATCTGCACTTCGAAGGTGAGCATGCTGAAGGTGAGCATGCTGAAAAGTTGAACACGAGTTTCTGCTCGTCTGCCTTGTAACATGCGACCTTGCCATGTCGCCTCTCCCCACCCCCACCCCCCCTCCCCCCCTCCCCCCCCCCCCTTCTCCTTTTCACTCCTCCCCTCGGCCGTCATAAAGGCACTTCAAGTTGCTCTGAGTTTGGGATGATTGCTCTACATGGATTCCGTCCGTGTCTATCCCATTCAGGGTCCCCGTTGTATGAATGGGTGCTCCAATGCTGTTTGTGCATGCAAGTCACGGCACCTCCCCGTGGTCGCAGTGTGCAGGGCAGGATGTTGTTCTAAGAGGAATATTTTAAGAGGGTAGCCATGGATTTGTGCGTGCACCTTGTCTCCTTGTGCTTGCAGTGCGAAGGAATGGAGAGCCCTTTGATCCGTTTGATTGGTGCAATATATGAGCGGCTCACATTTCACACTCAATACAGCCATCTGACCTTCTAATTGCATGGGTGTACCAGATTTCCTTCTGTACCCGAAATTTCATAATCTGCATTGGGTTACCCGGGATTCAACCCAGCGCGCTGCACTGCACCTGCGAAAGTACGAGGAGCGAAATTAGTGAATTGCAGAGTACAAATTGATTAAAGACACATGCAAGAAGGTGCACCACCAACAGGATAAGATAACTACACTAGGGTAAATCCTACAGGCAGTTACAGAACATACCCGTATTCTCCCGGACATAACACCCGCCGAAATTGTACACCCCCTGGGTAGCTTGTGCGGGGTGGGTGTTATTCTCAGAAATAGAATGCAACGGAATGATGAGATTAGGAATGTGGGTGATACAATAGCAAACCCTAACTGAGTTGTACTCACTAAGGAGCACCTCACTACAGCCTATCACAAACATCAACATTTGACACACCCCCATAGGCTAAGTGAGGGGCATCAAAGCAAGCAGGGTGAACAAACGGTCACAAGACCAGTCAATGCAAGAAGCAAAGCAAGCTCAGGGTGGATCTCAAGGACACCACACAAATTCCGAGCACAAGCAAGCGGCCACAAGGCCAGTTCAAGAGTTCACTATGATATATAATAGCAAAGCACAAGCAGAGCAAGCAACAAGGCTACAGCAACCGAGGACCTGCCTCAACAAGCCCTAACTGCACACTGAACCGATGGTGATCACCAGGCGCCAAGGCCTTGGTGAAGAGGTCAGCAGTGTTGGCCTCTGAGGCCACAAAGTCCAGGCGCACCTGGCCGCGTCGCTGTAGCTCACGCAGGAGGAAGTACCGGACGTCGATGTGCTTCACCCTGGTCTCCAGTCGAGGCTCGCGACACAAGAGAATCATGGCCTTGTTGTCAGCGAACAAGGTCGGAGCAGTGCGAGGTCGCTCACCAAGGTCAGCGAGCAAGAAGGTCAACCAGCGAAGCTCCTGAGCAGCCATAGCACCGGCGTAGATCTCTGCCTCTGCACTGGACGAAGCCACCGACGACGACCGTGTGGACCTCCGCGACACAGCCCCAGCTCCCAGACTGAAACAGTAACCCTGGTTCGAGCGCTGAGTCTCCACGTCGTCAGCGTAAGAAGAGTCACAGAGGCCAGTCATCTCAACTGGTCGAGTCCCTCCAAGCACAAGCCCCATGCCTGATGTAGTCGCCAGGTACTTCGCCACCCTCACGGCAGCCGTCCAGTAAACAGGACGGTGCCTCCCAGGTCCAACAAAGCGAGAGAGGACACTAAGAGGGTAGGCGAGGTCCGGGCGAGTACAGGTCATCAGGTACATGAGGCAGCCAACAAGCTCTGGGTAGGGACCACTGGGCTCAAAAGGCTCGTCGGGGAAGGGGCCGGTGAGTCTGTGGTTTACAACAAGAGGAGTGGGCTGTGTGGTGGAGTGCTGAAGCCCGAACCGCTGAAGGACCTGCTGCACCATATGTGACTGCGTCAACGTGATGGTGCGAGCGGCTCTGTCCCTGGTGATCTGCAGGCCAAGGTAGCGCTGCAGTTCACCAAGGTCAGTGCACGTGTGTCTCTTCTGCAGTTCGGACTTCACCTCAGCCAGAGCTGCCCTGTCTGGTGTAGCAAAGACCAAGTCGTCGACGTAGACGAGTATAAAGAAAGGAGTGGAGCCGGCACGAACAAACAGTGACGGGTCAGCAGAGGAAGGGCGAAACCCTAGGTCACGAAGCGTGGAGCGAAGAGTGTCGTGCCACTCACTGGGCGACTGGCGGAGACCGTAGACTGGTCGCCTCAGGCTCCACTGGGTCCCAGGAGGGAAAGTACCAGTGAAACCGGGAGGACGGCGCAGCAAGATCTCCTCGTGCAGTCGTCCCTGGAGAAAGGCAGTGGAGAAGTCGAGGGAGTGGAGCTCGTAGTCACGCTGTGCTGCTACGTGTAGTAACACCCGAAGTGTAGTCATCTTCGGGGTCGGAGCGAAGGTCTGAAAGAAGTCAACTCCCTCGCGCTGACTGAAGCCTCTCGCCACATAGGACGTCAGAGCCAAGGGCAAACTCACTCCCGACGGACAGAGGACGGGTAGGCGGAGCGGGCACCACACGAGTGCGGTAGTCAAGGTGGCTGGCGGCGGCAAAGTCACCGACAGCGGCAGTGAGAGCCGAGACAGACGACGGAGAGAAACGAGGGTCGGTGACAACAGTGGCTAGAACGCGGGAGACAACAGGGCGAACAGCACGGTAGTAGTCGGAGATAGGAGTAGGGGAGACAGGAAGAGAAGACGGAGGAGGAGACGGGAGAATGGACACCGAAGGAGGAGAACGACGAAGAGAAGTACAAAGGAGGGCAGTGAGAAGGTCGGTAACGGGGGACGAGGGACGAGTACCCGGAGGACAAGGACGGGAACGGTAGTGACGGACAACAGGAGGAGGAGACTGCGGTGGAGGGGAAGACCAGACCGTCGGACGGTCGTCAGGAGGAGGAAACGTGGGACCAAATGCAGGGGGAGACTGAGAGCGAACAGGAGGAGAGGAGGGAAGACCAAGGGCCCGAAGGCCACTCACGGGCGGGAACAACTGCCGCTCCAGAGGGAGCTGCTGCTGCTGTGGCTGCGGCGGCTGCTGCTGCTGCTGCTGTTGTGGCTGTGGCGGCTGCTGCTGTGGCTGCCGCTGCTGCTGCTGCTGCTACTGCTGCTGCTGCTGCTGCTGCTGCTGCTGCTGCTGCTGCCGCCGCTGCTGCTGCCGCCGCTGCTGCTGCCGCCGCTGCTGCTGCTCCAGCAGGTCCAACTGTCGCAACTCCTGCCGCTCCCGCTCCAACCGCTCCTGCTCCTCGCGCGCACGCCGGCAGGCCGCCTGGTAACGCGTGTCGTGGCGGTGGGGAGGCGGAGTGCTCTCCGCAGACGTAGTGCCCCCAGCTCCAGTCTCCTCAGAACTAGCACCCCCAGTACCAGTGTCCCCAGAAGGGGTACCAACAGGGTCAGGGTCCAGCTCCAGCGCCCCCTGTCCTAGCACCCCCAGTGCCAGGACCTCCAACTCCAGCACCCCCAGAACTAGCACCTCCCGTGCCAGCATCTCCAGCTCCAGCACCCCCTGAACTAGCACCTCCAGTGCCAGCACCTCCAGCTCCAGCACCCCCAGAACTAGCACCTCCAGTGCCAGAACCTCCAGCTCCAGCACCCCCAGGGCTAGCGCCACCTGCGCCAGCACCTCCAACTCCAGCACCCCTCGAACGAGCACCCCCAGACCGAGTACCGCCAGTGGCTGCACCTCCAGCTCCAACACCAACCGAGTCCACAATAACCTGTCGCGGAAGTACCGAAGGCTGCTGAGGGGACTGTGCGGAGGACTGCGGGGAGGGAGACGCTACCTGACGCGCGACCGGGGGTAGAGGGGTAGCGTGAGACACACCTGACAGGGCAGGACCAGGGGGGGGTGGGGGTACCGGAGGAGCGGGAGCAGGGAGAAGAGAGGGTGCGAGGAAAAGGGGGGTAGGGGGAACTGGGAGACCTCGACAGGGGTACCGGGTGCAGTAGGACACTGACTCGTCGAATCGGACGTCACGGGAGTCTAGGAACTGGTGGAGGGGCGGGTGGTAGAAGGACCAGTCGGCCGAGGCTACCGGGAAACCAAGGAAGACACAGGGGACGGCGCGAGCCGAGAGCTTGTCCGCAGAGGTGTCGCGGACAAGCGCAAGGCAGCCCCAGACACGAAAAGCTGACCCAACACCAGGGGACCCGGTCCAAAGACTGGTCGGTGAAGCCTCTGGCCGCGAGACGTGCGGCTGGAGGTTCAGCTGGTGAGCGGCGTAGCGAACCGCGTAGGCCACAGAAAATGGGGCGCACGGGCATGAATCATGGACGTGCGGGCGATGTCCATGACCAAGCCAATGCGGCGCTCAACAACCCCATTCTGCTGTGGGGACTCCGGCAGCGTCCAGGACTGTACGATGCCCTTCTCGCCGCAGAATCCGGCAAGAATGCCTGAGCGAAACTCACCCCCACGGTCAGAGTGGAGACAGGAGACACGACGGCCACGAGTGCCCTCAGTGGCTAGAAGCCACCGGATCAGCGTAGAAGTCACCTCGGACTTCTTCGCGAGAGGAAACACCGTGGTGTACCTGGAGAAGTCGTCGACGACCACCAGAAAGTAGCGCTCCCTCTCAGGTCCCTGCGTAGGTGCAGGGCCCCAGACATCCAAGTGGAGTGTCTGGAAGGGAGCAGTGGCCGGACGAAGGGAGGAGGAGTGCGGAGTGGCATGAAGACGGTCGGCGACGCAAGGAGTGCACGGCGGCGCAGGCGAGGGAGGGAGCGACGGGAAGACGCGAGGGAGACCTGAGACAAGACGGTGACTAGCCATAGTGCGGAGGCGGGGGATCGACGGGTGGCCAAGACGGTGGTGCCACAAGACGGTCCGGTGGGTGAAAGACCGACACGAGCAAGACGCAGCAACAAGACCGGACACAGCAACCTGACCGGACCCAGCAACCTGACAGGACACAGCAACCGGTGGGGACGCAGTAACCTGACCGGACTCTGCTACCGGGGGGGGCGAAGCAAC